CCCATTTGTATGGTCAGGTCAACTTGCCGATGGAGGTGTGGTGTGTGGCTGCAGCAGAGATGCTTGAGTGCTGGAAACAAGGTGAGTAAAACATTAAAATAAACTATTTTAACATCAAAGGGGGTGGACAGAGGTCAGAAAAATACAAAGGAACGCATATTTTTGGGGCTATAGTTTTCATTCCCCCCCTTTCATTTTTTTTTTTTCCTTACTCCTAATTTGTTTCAGTTGACTGTCGGAATGAATCTTGGGCAAAGCTTAAAATTGTGTCTTCCATTACGTCACACTGTTGGCAGTGACTGAACGGTCTGTGGAGGAATTGACCGAGGAGACTGGGTTAAAGCGGCACTGACATGCCGTTCCTACCTTTTCCCTATGGCTACCTCTTCTCTTTCCTACTTTGTCTTTCTATTTTTAAATTTTTCATCTATTTATCTATTTGTCTTGTTTTTTAGTTTCAAAGGACTACTTTTTCTAGTTTTTCTACACTAGACTTTAAAAAAATAAATAAAATGGACACTGAATCCCAGCAGCATTGTCACTGTCTTTGCAAATTCTTCAAAGTACTCAGATGGTGACAGTGCCTCTTTAAGGAGAAAAATTATAAGCAGAAAGCATGAAAGAAGGCAAAAACCTTTAACCTTTTAAATAATGACACCACATGGCTCGGCTTCATTCAAAGATCATATGCCTCTGCCCATCAGATAGTGTTTACTGGGGGGCGGACCCAAGCCACTGAACTGAATGGCCGCATGCTGTCCGAGCTCCGGGCCAAAAAGCTACTATTACACCTCAAACACATCCCAAAACCCACGTACTTGGGGTGGAAGACCAAAAAGTCTAGACCCGACAAACCTCCGCAGAACATGAGCATCGTGACTTCTGGAGACAAGCACAGGGTGCCATAGGCCCAAACATGGCCGCCTTAACCGACGACTGCTCCAACGTTTCAGATGATTTTATGCTCGGAATAAAGGCAGAGCCCCACCCGCCCCGAAGGCTCCTCTCCCGGTCCCTCCACAACCGGAATCGCCACCACTCACCACAGCGATCCTGAAGGAACTGCTGGTGGGTTCAGCTCACCATACAGGCCGACATTACCCAGATACGCAAAGACCTACAGGGCCTGACTGGCCGCATGAACATACTGGAGCAAGATTCCAACCAGAATACCAAACACATCAAGCACCTACAACAAGCAGTACATGAACTGCAGATGCAGAACCTTAAATACGACCTAAAATTTGCAGCATTAGAAGACCAGAGGCGAAGCAGAAATATTAAGATCCAGGGGATCACAGAGGAGATGCCGGAGGCCAAGGTACTGCACTTTGTAAGGCGACTCATAACAGCCCTCCTAAACCCCAAGCACACAAAGCAGGAGAACCCAGAGGGGATGTTCAGTATCCCGAGGCCCGCCAAGGCTCATAGCACGCTACCTAGGGATCTCCTAGTGCGCTTTCCCAGCACCAGACACAAAATTGCGGTGATAAAAGCAACGCGCAATCAATCTCCTTACCTATTTGAAAACCAGTCGATGTCTTTCTACATGGACCTGTCAAAGTCCACACTGGTATGGCGCTGCTCGCTACAGCCCCTCACATCCCTCCTCCGCACGCAAAACATCGACTATAAGTGGAGGGGACCACACGCGCTGCAAATACATCAGGCTGACTCCACATACACCATCCACGACCTGCAGGGTGCGAGAGAACTCCTTCCCACCCTGGGCCTACAGAAGGACTCCTTACCATCAATCGGACCACGCACCACCTCCCCACCTTCCGGGTTAGGGAACCCGGCAACGGCTATCCCTTTTGTGCCCCAACGACTTGTTGCAGAGAACTATGCACCTGATGGAGCTCTGGCAGCAAGAAGAGGCCACCACCACATACCTGTGGCCCTCCTGACCCAAGGACTAGCCCTAACATTCCTGGCACATGAACACTAAGCCCACCATTGAACACTGAGTTCAGGTTCTGACATGCAGATAGCTCTTAGTTAGAGAAAAGCCCAATATGCTCAAAAAAGGTTACCTAGATACCCACGCTTGCTCCCCCTCAGCCAAGAGCAGTATCCAGCTCGCTCTCTCACTGCAGTACCGTAGCAACACAGGTACCGGCACCATCAGCCATACACTGACCGGGCCACAGAGCACCCTCACCCCCAAAGATATCAGCTAACTTGCTCACCTACCGTCCAGACCTACTCATAACTTGAGGATTTATTAGCTCCTCTTTTAGTTTGCCCCCTGCAGAGAGTTGGAACTCTATCTATACTCGCCTCAGGCACTACCCTCATAGTACTCATTACACTGCTGTACGCAACAGGGGCATAAAGAACACATACATAGGTATAGAGCTTGCTTCCAGCTTGTCACAAGAGCTCACAATCCCTGTTGTTTGGAAATACAGGCCAGCTCCAGATACCCACCTTCTTGACAAACGTTAAACTTAAAACGTGCAGATTATATGTAAACCACGTAAATAACCTCTCTTGAATGTCTTTTCATGCATGATATAGCTATCGTGGCGTACCAAGCCTGTTTGTTATCGCTTGCACACTAAAAAAAATTAATAAAAGATAATGTTTACTGCCTACGTTATTCATTGTAAGAGCCGGACTGGGGAAAATTGGGCCCGGGTATTTTTGCATCACAACGGCCCACCGAGAAGGGGGCGGGGCCAGAGAGAGTGTGTTTTGTCATCACCCTTGACAAACACGCCTATTCTCAAAGTGAGCATGTTTGTTCAATGTGCAGAGCCCCGCTGAAATGCTCTCGCATGAGAAAAAGGCCCTGTTTTTGTTCTGCGCCGCACAAGCAAATTTATTAACATGTTTGCTTGTGACTTGTCTCTGGTGTCTCCATAAGTGGCATTCCAGAGGACATAAGGGCCAGGAAAGCGTATTGTGCATGTGTTTGCAGCCTGGTTGTGGGATTGTGTGTGTGAGAGCACGCCAGCGTCCATAGGAAAGCATTATGAATGCTTTCCTATGTGACCGGCTGAATGCGCGCACAGCTCTTGCCGCGCGTGCGCATACAGCCGACGGGGAGGAGAAGAGGAGGAGAGCTCTCTGCCCAGCGGTGGAAAAAGGTAAGTTTTACCCCTTTCCAGAGAGAAACTGCTATGTTTCACTGAGGGTTAATCCAGCCTCTAGTGGCTGTCTCACGGACAGCCGCTAGAGGAGCACACTGAACGTCCATAGGAAAGCATTGAGTAATGCTTTCCTATGGGCGGTTTGAATGCGTGCGCGGTCGCATTCGGAGCTGAGAGGCTGAGGGATCCTCAGCGCCAAGGGAATCCGGCGCTGGAGAAAGGTAAGTGCTGAAGACACACACACTCTCACTTACAGACGCATACACACTAGCTAACAGACACACACATTTACTGACAGAGATACAGTCAGCGACAGACATACATACACACTCACAAAACATACACTCTCATTGACAAACACACACTCACTAACAGACATCAAACAGACTCACTAACACACACACAGTAACACACTCACTGACACTCACTAGCAGACACACACACTAACACTCACTAGCAGACACACTCTAACACTCACTCTAACACTCACACTAACACTCACACACACTAACACTCACTCTAACACTCACTCTAACACTCACTCTAACACTCACTCTAACACTCACACTAACACACACACATGATTTTTTTTTTTTTAATATAATCCCCCCAGCCTCCTTACCTCTTGGAGTGCTGGGGGGGATTATTCCCTGGGGTCCAGTGGGGCTCCTGGGCGGGTGGCAGGTTGGGCAGGCAGGCAGGCAGGCGCGCGCGCGAGGGAGCACTCAGTGCTTCCTCTTCAGCTCCCTCGCGCACCGCGTAGGGATGCCGGCGCTGGAAGATGACGTCATCTTCTGGCTCCGGTATCATTGCGGTGCGCGAGGGAGCTGAAGAGGAAGCACTGAGTGCTCCCTCGCGCGCCCGCCTGCCTGCCCGACCGGCCACCCGGGGTCAGCAGGGCCAGCCTCAGGGGGCCCTGGGGTGGTCGGCTCCTGGGCCCCCCAGGGGAAGAGGCTGGCCCTGGGCGTACATACCGGGTCGCAGGGGCGGCCGGGCCCCCTGGTGGGCCGGGCCCGGTCGCAGTCGCGACCCCTGCGACCCTGGTATGTACGCCAGTGCAGTCAGGGTTATTCCATTCTGAAACAGTGTTTTATTTTTTAATACTGTGTAATACTGTTTTTGGTTGGATTAACCTCTTAAAAGCAAAAACCCTGTTTGGAGGCCTGCAGGTGGGAGTCATGACTGTGTGGTTCTCACGCAGCCATTATGGGTGCTTGGCAGCATGCATATAATATCTGTGGGAGAGCCACACAAAAGTAGGGGGAGAAAAGTAGCAGTAGCCAAAAAACTTTGCACCAGAAGGGGGCTCTTGGTCTACCATTGCCCGAGGGCCCTGTAAGTTGTCAGTCCGCCACTGTTCAGTTGTGTTGTAATATTTGTGGCTAGGTGCTGTGGAGAGTGAGAGAGAGTGTGTGTGTGTGTGTGTGTGTATAGGGGTTGTAGCGAGTGTGTGCATTGGGACTATAGTGTGTATTTGTGTGGGTGATGTAGTGTGTCTAGGGGTTTTAAAGAGCGTTATTCAGGTAATGTAGTGTGCTCATAGGGGATCCAGAGTGTGTGTCAGAAATGTAGTGTGTGTTTAGGTGGTGCAGTGTGTGTCTATAGGGGATCTATTGTATGTTGGTGATCTACTGTGTGTGTGGAGAACAGAGTCTCTATAAGGGTTCCAGTGTGTGTATGTGTACAGGATTCAGAGTTGTGTAGGTGATTTAGTGTGTGTGTGTGTGTGTGTGTGTGTGTGAGGGGTGCAGCATGTCTGTGTGTAAGGGGTGTAGGGTGTGTGTGAAAGGGGAGGGAGAGGGGTGCAGCGTGTGTGTAGTGCTGTATGTGTGAAGGGTGCAGTGTGTGTTGGGAGGTATTATGTATGGGAGCGGGGGACAGATTAAAGCAATATATGTATATTTTTTTAATTGGAAAAATATATACTTTATATCCCCCCTCCCTTCTTACCTTTTCCCCGGGAGGGGTGACCTTGCTGCAATCCCTAGCTTTCCTAGTGATAAATGAACTATAATCCAGCTACCTCTAAAAAGTGTTGTTATGGCCATCTTTGGTCTCATCAGTGAGGTGTAGGTGATACCTCTCTAAGCAGAAAGAGCAAGGGCTCAATGCCTGGATTACCCTTTTAATTTGGGGAGACCATAATCATAAGCATATAAGTCAAAAACAGAACTTATGAAAACAATGACAATGGGAAAAGCTTTCCACTCATCTAGTCACCACTATCCGACACGTTTTAGCTTACTAATGACATTGCAGAGGTAACCAGTACCATTTGTAAGTCCAAAATGATTGCCTGGGGTTGCTTTATATCTCATATAGAGGGAACCTGACTGCATTTTCATTTTAGACTGCCCTTGAGGATCAAGTCAGTCTGATATGCAAATGTTGTAGATTTTGTAATGGTACAAGTCACATAAAACGTTTAAGATCTCAGCGAGACTAAGAGCTCGTTCTCAGTGTTCCCAAAACGTTGAGTTTTGTCTTAGATAAATATACATGGTAACAAGGTTTTTAAAGGTAAAGTTTAGGCACCATAACAACTTCATCAAAATAATATTGTTATGGTGCCAGAACATCCCTGGCTCTGTCTCACCTTTTGGGATTAAACCATTATCGAACGGTTTAACCCTTAAGTCTGTGTTCCAGTGCCAAATCTCCCTGACTCTCTTCCCTTCAGTTTTCTAAAAAATTCTAAACCGGAAGGCTCTTGCAGAATCTGGCAGCGGTACTGCTGATTGGCTGAGAGAGATCAGCTGACGTTCACAGTCATTCATTGAATCCCTACTCATAAAACTTGCTTGAAAATAAACATTCTTTTTTCAAGCCAGTTTTATGAATATAAATGCTTACCTATAGGGTTTTGGGTGATGCTGGACGTCATGGAACTTCTATCTAAAAATGAATGTTAGAAGGAAATTGTTTATAAATAGGATTTAAAAAAAAAAAGCTGTACTCCAGAAATACTACATTTAAGAAGAGTTATAAAGATATAATCTCCTAACCATTTACCTAAGTCAATAGGAAAGTATCTCTGTGAATCTGTATACAGGACACAAGTTAACGTCTTGCATTTCTAAGAACCCATTATTAATGCTTACTTACTTTATCAAATGATTCTATTATATTCTAATGACATGGATGTATATACAATTAGATACTGTACCTAATTGTACATTATTCTCCCTAGCCATAGCAATCCC